GAATACTCAACCACGCGGGTCAAATTCTGTTTCTGATTTGGGTGACCTACCCTATTCCATTTGGCTTCAAAGACTGACACCGTTTTGTCTAGATAAACCATCGCCGCCGTTGAGGTTAACTTCTTACTTGACTTATTCTGTAAGGAAAACTAGGACGGAAACATTAGGGATTCTTTCGTCTCAGCACTGGAATTTTGACCATAGATCACCGACGGAAACTGCTCAAAGGGAGTAAGTTCTGAGTGCGGACTAGCCTTGTAGTACCCCTCGTGTAGTGAGTGATTAGAACCGTTGGACAGCTCGTTGTTGCTGCACAGACGGAGGAACAAAAGACTGCTGGATTCTCATTCGATGAGTATTCTGATTAGTTTTTCTACTGTGAAGATCTGCTTTGCAAAGATCAAATCATCCCTGTGGCAACCGGAAAATGATGGAGCTGACAAAGCATCTCCTCTTTGCTCTCCGCTGTCTAATGAACCTATGATCCGATACATGTAGAGCTCTACTGTTTAAATCGCGCGGTCATTTTATCCTAATTTTGCCACGCTCTCATCAAGCGAGGTAACGTTAAACAGCAGAGGAAAGGCCTTTCGTGGCTTTGCGGAATGGGTATGGCCATCCTACTCGGGAAAGCAGAATCTAGCTCTGCTTCGGGAGACTGATGGCAACTGGTGGGCTTGTGGTGAAAAGGACCATATGTTTTGTGCTAACACATGAAGTAGAGTAGGCCGCAGCCATCCAGTGACCCGTCCTTCATGTTTGCTGAATCGTTGGGATAGCCTGTCAAAAATATGCCACCTTCAACTTTGAATGCCCATCAGCGTGTCAGCATCAGCAATGGCTCGGATAAGTCTGCTCACCTCACCCATCTATCGTGGGTTTCCGAAACTGCAGAAAGCTGTCGACGCAAGCACTTGTTGGAACTGGGTTACTGACAAATGCGTCCAAAAAGTAGAGTATTCTGTTGGGCACACCACATCTAGAGGTATTAGTGTTGACAAAGCTGCATGCATATAGCTGTAACCTATTGCATGCAAGACCTTCGGGGCCGTAGACCACAACTGCAGCTTGCAAATATTATCATCAAGGAGAAGACACACCGTAGTTTTACTAAGTAACCCAAGTTTTCCCTAGTTGACTTCATATTCCTTTAGTAGGAAGTCTATGAACTATGTGCGGCTGAGGAACTTGAATTTTGACATGTTATGTGTTGCAGCTAAGTCAGCCAGCCTTATACAGATTGGGGGTTAGCAAACTCAGACCACGGCACTGAGAGGGGACTCCTGCGAGTTGTGCCGAATTTCGTTGCTGGGTTGGAAACATTTCCACTCTTTGTAGCTTGATTCCAGTATGGGTCCTGCTCGCTCTACGTTTTCCTTGACGCTTTGTTGATGGAACGTGGACTAACAGAGTATAGCTCGAATCACAACTGGAACCAATCCCTAGCCGTGACTAAACTATTTAATGACGTTTTCGAAGCCGAAGGATATGATAAACGTGTAGCTTCCACACAATACCAGTGGACCAGAGCATACTAGTAGCGGCGGCGTCGCACTAGTAACCCCCTTTTGAAAACGACGCAGTATAATTGATCTCATACCCACTTAGTTCGTCAGGTTACAAAAGACGTGGCGCAAGAATTGCAAAGGGTGTACTTCAATCCTGACAGACACCGACAAGGGTTATTAGAGTGCTGGTGTGCGCAGCCGACTTCCTTCTGAGCTCCAGCTCAAGGCGCCATTATCTAACTAACCACAAGACGTAAGCACTTAACTCAAATGACATTCCACACAACAGTTCGAAAAACAAGGCCTACTGCATTGCATAGTGGGAATTGATTCCCGTTCATCAGGTAAGGACAAAACGCAAACAGTCAGCGTTCTCGAGAACATCAAGAAATGGGGCAGACGGGCTAAAATAGTTATGATGTGGATATTATGATTATTCCACAGATGGGAAGTCTACCTTGACGGCGAAATGTAGCTTTAAGCTAATGTCTTTCGCACAGACCCATATGCCGGTTTGGTTGTTTTATACTTCTTTTGCCGTTATTATTCCATTTTCCATGTTTTTAACACTTTTCGAAAGGTACGTCTTTCAAATCCATCCGCCAGCAGAAGCGTCGTAATTTATGGTGCATTATTTGATTGCTTACTTATTTACATTCAGAAACGGCACACAAGCAACCTTTCAACTATAAACGCACGCATGTCCGAAATTCCTCAGTCGAGCCACACGAATTGCGTTGGCTGGTTCAATGGATATCCTACAGTGTAATACACCTCTGTCTCTGTCGCATGTTGAATCACACTGTGTATTTGTTTGTATTAAGAAATTTTTATTTTTGAAGCGTGTGTGTTACGGCTAAATGTTTGTCAGTACTGGACTTCACTTGGCGCTTTGCGTACGCTTTCATCACAAAATGTGGGTGTGTTGATCCTATTATCGCATCTGCGCAACTGACTGTGGGGTGTAAATTCCACGGATTTGTCGTCAAAACGTTTAATAAAACTTTGCGAGATAATGCATGTACGAAATGGGCTATAACCGTTACATTGAAAAGTGCGATTCTTATAAAACTTGTCGCGGTTCGCTATAGAGAAATCGATGACTGCTGCTTCGTTTTTCTCTTCAAACAGCGTTTCAACGATGGACCCCAAATATTTGGTCTTGTGTAATGCTTTAATCCACCGCGCAAACACTACATGATGCATGTAGGTATAACCGCTTCCAACCCTACAGTCTGTAACTAATGCCTGTTGCGGGAAGTCATTTCCAAGTGGAAGCGTTCTTGGCGTTTCTGACTATTAACTTTTGCATTCCGGATGTGCTCCCTCGTTGCTCAACGCGAGAAAAGTAATAGTTGTTCACAAACACAATAAGCAAGAATCGCAACCATTCTTTATTAGTAAAGAGCGTGAACAGGAAGCAGACATTAATCACTTGCAGCTATTGCTATGAGTACTTTTACTTGAGTAGGCGCGCGTTCGCGAGCTCCACCGTTGTTCTTGGGAGCGAAAGGTGTAATAAAATGTCCGAATTTCTTATCATCAGGAAAGAGCATATTTTCAAGTAGCCATGTTTTCTTGTATCTCAAACGCTAAAACACACGCTTTGCTAGTATTGCACTTTCATAGATAACAACAACAACAGAGCCCAGCTGTCTAAACGGGCTGCGTTTTCTTTCAATATAACAGCACGAGATCATGTAAGGTTACTAGCATTCGATTTACGCTTACAAATATACATGGGATAAGTTGCCAAATACACTTGGTAGCTAGTTCATCCTTCATCTGCACTGAGTTTCCAAAACCAACATCTGGGCTCATCCACAGCCACATTATCGTCCGTACTCTACCAGACAGTGACAAAGAAAAACCAGTGTACCGGATGATATGGACCCCTGAACCACAATCATCGGTGAAATGGACAGCCGACTGCGGTCACCACGTGGTAGTCAGCCCAGTTCTTAGATCGGTTTGGGTTACCGCGTAACCAAGCTGTTTCACTGCGAATTGTATTTGTGTGCTAGGGCGAAGAATATCATTTTGCTAAATTATATTTTCAAATATTCACGTTGCCAACGATATTTGTTCACGGTTTGTATAAACCTGCACACTGTAGTTGTTTATCAAAACCAGTTCTTTTACATGTTCTCCGATTTCAACCTTTTTGTGGCAAAGCAAGTTAACTAACCGAGTTGATGAACTTCATTTACACAGTGATGGTTCCATGAACTGCCGGACATAATGTCATTCACGTTGGTTACAATATTTCAGTTTCACCAAACTGCGATTACTTTTGAACTCGCTGGTGCTCCCCTAATGATGTACCGCAAAATATCTACATACATCGCTCGTGGCATCATTTCGACGTGGGAAATTGGCTATCAATCAAATAAGGTGCTGCTGTTTATGCCATGCAGTGTTTCTAGACCAAGTAATTCGGTGTGAGTGCGCTCATTTACCAGCGGTGGTTGTGTCACCAGGAGGTTATCCGGAACCTAGAGTAGACGGAAGTGTACTTACCGTAGTAAGAATGCATCAATTAGAAATAACAAAGTTCCATTTCGGCTTCATGCGAATATTTTGAGATGCAAGTAAACTCATCTCTGGCACTGTTTGTCAGGTAACTATTGCCGATTCTAGTAAATAAGTGTCGATAGCTTTTTCCTTCATGTGGAGGTAATGGAGGGTCAATGGTCATCATTTGAATCTAGTTTTGTTGATAGACTTGATAATGTTACCATTGCTACGGATTATCTAGTAAAACCTGGCATGCATATGTTTAGCTAAATTAATTCGAAGTAAATAGCCGCAGAACGAGGGATTACCAGACAAATTAAATCACCCTGTCGAAGTACAAGCCGCATGAGTGTTAGGAGGAAGTCTAATGAAAAATACCTCTTGTGACAATCCTGCGTTACATGCTTTCGTTTCGTTTCCGTTTGCTATTTGACATTTGCTTCAAAGCTTAGTTTATTTAATTTGATTGCCTGGCATGAGTCGTCCACAATGGATGTTTTACTAGGTTCCCGTTTTAGTTTATACCTTTGCCACGAATACGCGTAATTGGCCCTTACTTTTATCCTTTTTTATCCGTCCGTCTCATTCAGCGTCTGCTGCGTTGGTGGTTGGTCCTCATGTAATTTAATAGCTTCGCTTCTATCACTATGGTATCCCATATAAGGAAACAGTGTTCTCATGCTTACAAATTGGTCCTGGCTTATTTTCGTCTTCTCTTTACGGTCTTGGAGTGTAAACAATCGGATGCAATACAGCAATGAAAGAATGGCTATTTTTACATGTCAGACCATTATATGGCATATATAGCTGACCTCTTAATACGAACACATACGTATGAACGCAATTTGTATTCATAAACGCATTTTCAGCAAACGTACAGAGTGTGAAATTTTATTAGAACACAAGAACTGCACTCCGTGCAAATGGTTGTAAAGCGAGCTTTGCGCATCTTGTGGTTCTCGGAGAAGCAGGATATCATCCATGATCTATTGCTGTCCTCTGTAAAGGATGAAGGAGTGGCTGAATAAGTTTGTCAACGACACGACACACTTACTGTTTGATGCAGCATTTGCTCAATAATGACGGATGAATTCCGTTAGGACTGCGCAATATAGGAGGAGCAAAGAGTGATATTTAGAAACAAACTGTTTAAATTTATACATATTTCTTCACATTCGACATACGAAATGAACATGAGGCGTATGGTCCATGCTGCTGTGGATAAGGTAAGACACAACCGTCGAATAATACATACAATTGACTTGCTAGGTGGATGATGAGCCGTTAACATGTTTTCGTGCAGGTGACAATGGCACTTTAGATCAATGCCCATGCACGATAGGTCAGTGGCCGCGTTTTATACGTCCAGTCGAAGTCTATAGAAAAGCATTTCCTCAGACGCTAATCAGCTTACCAATAAACAAGCGAGAGCACTTAGGTCCATTCGGAACTCCTCAGTGGTGCTTATTCTCTCGTTTCTCCACCCACTACGGTAAGAGTTCAAGCACCCTTCGGCATAATGGAGCGGTTCCTAAAATGAGCCGGAGCTCGATATTTCCTCGACCAACTTCGAGACCGGCAGCAGTAACTGGGACACACGGTTGTGTGGTTGCATGTTAGTCATGCAGTAAATAATTTGAGCAAAATTATTCTCTTTCCTGCATCAATGAGAACACAGCTAATTTTGAGCGATTTCTGCGTGCAACATCAACAACTGGGGATGGGGCGATAACCCATACGTTATATAGGGCCGTGGATGAACCACACTGTACCCCATTGGCAACATGCCTAATGATGACTAACTGCGACATGTTATCAAAAGCGATTACTAAGTAAGAGTGCAAGAGCAACAATTTAATTTGACACCCAATTAGCAGTGAGCATCGAAGCGTGCCTACCCCGTGTGTATCCTGACGCGCTTGCGGATTTACCAGCCGTCGACCGAGTTGATTCCGCAAACTTCCGCTTGGCGACTGCGTGTCTATCCCTTGCGTATCCTGATGCGATTGCGGATTTACCAGCCGTCGACCGAGTTGATTGCGCAAAGTTCCGCTTGGCGACTGCGTGTCTATCCCTTGCGTATCCGGATTCACCAGCCGTCGACCGAGTTGATTACGCGAATTCGGAGTGCTAAGAACTGTGGGCACAAAGCCACTGGCGGCACCTAAAAAGTATCAAACGTACAGTCAGCACACGTAACTACGGGGATGTGATACTTATAAATGTTGCGATCAACTCACCCAGATATATTACTTTAAGACCAACGAGCAGGAACGTCACGCAGCATTGAAGCGAGAATACGGACATTGCCAATTCCAACACGTTGTTTTTGACTGTCATCATTTTGTTTATATATGCGTTCTTTTTGAGACAGCTTTCAGCCACTGGATCGCGTCAGTCCGTCAAATAGATCTCAACGGATTGGTAACGAGGAAACTCATGGCTAGAGTTTAGGGGTTTCCGGTTACCAGGTCAAAATGATCATTCGGCTTGCGAGCAAAGCTTATGGAGCGAAAGTGAGAACTAACATGTGAACTATCAATCATCCCTATCGTGAGTGCAAAATGAAAATGTGTGTGAGTACTGAAAGATTTACTTGTGTTTTTTCTCAAGACCCGCTACTAAAGCTTCAAAGAGTTGCACACACCAGTTCGTGTGTTGTGGGAATTTGTTCGCTTACATACAACGCTCATAAGAATTGTTAGGACACAGAGCAACCTGAATGATTTTACCGAAGGCAAACTCAATTTCAATATGCATTAGTTTTATACTTAAACTGCAGCTTAATCGCAGTCAGCGCACAACCATGTATTAATAAATTAGAAAAGCGAATATGATGTGTTGTGGACATCTAGATATGTATTTGTTTACGTATGAACCGTTTTTATGTTCTATCTCTCCTATCCGGAGGCGTCAGCACACAATGTACTTAGCGATTCCTAATATCTCTCAATATAAATTCCCATACACCTCGGCTGCACCCAGTGATTGAAACACTAAAATCTCTACTTGGAATCGCTTTTTTGTGAATAGGCAAAAGGCTTCAGCATTACGCCGGTACGCAGTACCGAGACTTTGCTGCCGTGCAAACATCACCGGTCACACGCGGGCTAAGGATACTGAAGGGGTTACCTTGCCCCCACACAGGAACAAGCTCGAACCGACAGGTTACAAGAAAAGCTTGTTACCATTAGGCTATTACCGACTTTCCTGTGACCAACTTGGACACAAACGATTCTTAACGATATATTTGCCGAATGCGTCCGGAACAGCCACATGGTCTGTGTCTCCCATTGTCAGGATATAAACTATTCGGTACTTTGGCTTGCTTACGTTTATCATCCTGACAACCGTTTTGTAATGTTAAATAATTCTTCTTCTTTCTCGGAGGCAACAAAGGTCCGAGGACCGGAAAGAAGTTCTAGGTGTTTGAGGATATCATGTACGTAAACAACTGTTGGATGAACCTGAACACTATTCAGAGCTGTAGTGTAAATCGATAAATCGAGTAGACATCTGTTTAGGCGGTCTCATGATGCAATTTACCAAAAATACATCGACCATTATCACGCTGTAGCTAAATACATCACTTCGTTATTTAGTATCGTTACTGTTATTACCGTTCCACCGGCTCAGGGTCACTGACAACTGGACACAAAGCTGAAGGTCCAACAATTTGCATATTCTACACGTTATATTCGGGAAAGTTAACGAATTTCGGCTTAGCGTTTACCATCCATTTCCTTTTAGCATGCTCATTACGACAACGGAAAATATTGGAATGGTATCTGACAGTTTTTATGAAAACTGTGCAAATGCTTTTCAATCATCCTGTGGTCCACCTGGTAGTGGGCATTTCCTACGCATTTCCTCATACATCGCTCAAGTTCCACTCATCCGACGCGGAATTACCAGCTCTATCCATTGGATCGTCAAGCGTAGGAATTATTGCATCACCTTATCACGTAAATCATCTTACTGGCGCCGCAAAAGACTCGTCAGCTAGCCGACTTCATCAACTGATCAAGTTTATCGGTCGACGGCGCTCGATTCACCCTGCTGTTGTGCCAATCGGGTTGCATTTTCGTGAGCAGCGCTCCGGCCAGTAAACAGGAGTACAACCCACATCGGCAGTCATCTGACTGTGCGGCTTTTGGACCGGCATGTTGATTGAAACCAGCGCGCAATGCGTCCGTTTCAAGTTCACGCAGGTTGGTTTTTTGCATTCCCTCTCACTCAACAACGGAGTGTGTAAACAGCAAGCGAAGTGGACGCATCCATTTGTCTGACTATGGGGTGTACCTGGCCAGTCGGAAAAATGCGCAACGTCAATCAGCTTCCTACGTAAGGTAGCAACCCTATGACGAGTGGCAGAAAGCGAACAGATGCGAATCCAAAAGAACCCCAGTCGAAAGGAAAATGTGGGCCCGCGGTGTGTAACCAATTGGCAAAATATGGTTTACCTTGCTCACACTGTTTCATCTGGTTACACCCAAAATGTTCAACGCTTCCCCAACAACACGTGCCAGATGGAAACAGCTCCGAATACGATATCTGGTTCTGTTCCGCGTATTCTACAATCCCACCGGAAAATGCATACTCCTCCTAAGCCAAAAATGCGACCGGTTAGCCGACGTAGTACAACAACGAACGAAAGCTTCTATTATATCACTGGATGCCAGTACGCACCGGCAGAACACAATAACTTCAAAGGGAAACAATGGTGAGAAATTTGCTTCGCTCGACTAACGATCAACAAGGTCCCGTTGCCGTTGTCTTCTAAAATTTTGGAAGAACGCCAGGCGAAAGCAGATTATAGCTCCGATAGACAAACGGTATTTAGGACCACGAAAATCAGGCACAACTCGAAAAGTGTAATCGAGCAAGTTCAGCCGCTCTTGACAATTTGTATTATTAACAAAGCTGGGACAACCGTATCCAAGTCTATTGTACCTGCAACCCAAGGGACTCCGGTCGAGTTCAAATTCCAAAATCTCCAACCGCATATGCAGAAATCGCTGATAATCTCCATCGGGGTGCTACATTTAGCTTTTCTTCGGTTTCCAGCACGGCTACTGCTAATAGAGCGACAAACAATAGACCGTCATCATTTGGCATAAAGCCAGACCCAGCAATCAATCGACCTTGCTGACCAACTCAAATTGGCTCCAACAAACGCCCTAAATTCCGTGTGCACTAATGTCCCTGAATCTACCGTCATCACATTGTGGGGTACTTTTTTGACCAGCAAGAGCAGTGGACCTCACTGTGCATTTTGAGGAGCGTAAAATCCAAACCCATAAACCTAGTCAGAGTTACTCGTCATCCAACTCTGCGCACTATGGCAAACGCAGAGTTATTAGGGTAACGTTGGAAGCGGCGCATATGTGGAAAAGGGTTTAATCTCTACAACACGGTCTTTGTAAGATACGCATCTATCCTAAGGTCCATTGGGGCACGCGCCAATTGAAAGAAATATCACGGTTGGGTAAATCAAGCTGGATTGCCTAAGTATAATGTTTATTTATGGCGTATCAGTACATCATTCTTACAATAGTCCTGAGGCCAGTAATCGCTATTTGGAGCAGTGGTGCTTCATTCATGAAACGCTCAGCGTGGATAACGTCATGGTACGATCGCTCAAATGGCTACCTCTTTCACCAACTTATAAAAGTAGCAAATCAAGAATCCTAAAACTCATGATTCAGGCAGAGCAGACATCAACTGAAGTGTTATAACCTTGGCGGAGACATCGTAGAAGCTTTCCAACTGCACTTCGGTTAAAAGCTGCTGAAGCCTTGCAAAGACCAGACATGAGCCTAGCTGAGAAAGCCACCCAACCAGCGATACTGCAGGAGCGTTACATTACCGCTCGATCACGCGATTCCGGACAAGGAATGGGAGGTACTTTGGCCAAATCAGCTTGCGAACGACATGTCATCATCATCCCAACAAAAACAACGAAAACGACCGAGCTCAAATCGGTTGGCATTCTACTACACATGACTCCTTTGCCTCTCTGTGTGGCCCTAGAGACCGAGAAACTATCCTGTCTTAATAGTAATGCTCAAGACCTCTTAACTAAGCTGCCTGATATGAAGGATTGCGAAATTTCGAATCCACGAGATGTCATTGGTATCACGGAGACGTGGTTGCATAATGGAATAACTGCCGTGTAAGTATCGTTGCCGGGCATGTCACACATACGAACCGACAATCTTATGAAAGGAGAAGGAGTAATTACCGAAGCGACCTGAAATGTGAGAGCGTTGAGGATTCGGACTTACAGTTGGCTGATTCTGTTGGTGCGGTCTGCAATTACATGACAGAGACACATACCTTATAGCTTTGGAGTACCGCCCCTAAACTGTATACCGGAAATTGACTGCAATCTGGTGACAGCTTTAAGATGCAGTCTAAAGCAAAAGCTCACTGACATCTTTAGCATGGGTGATTTCAGTGTACACTATTTAGAAACCACTGCCATATCCGGAGAACCCTTCAAATCGGATTTGCAAGAGCTCCTAACCAGTGTTCCACTTTACAGTTACGCCACTATGTTCACTCGTTTCAGAACAGGTCGTAGACTGTCAGTACTGGATCTTTTGTTTACCGACGAGGAATATATGATTGATGTATTGCATGTAGGATACCCTTCGGGTGGCAGTGATCATGCAGTCATCAGGTTCGTCTTCATCTGTTACGGGGAATAGCGCCATCAGCACACTGAGACGGTGCACACCACTACGTGCTACGACCGCTTAGCCCAGCTCATCAGTGCCACAACCTTGTCGTTCCTCGCTGTAAACCACCCGGAAGTCGCTTGGCTTAAATTCATCAGCAAATTCAATCAACTGGTTACGGATGCCTCAGGAAGAATGATTTTAATCAGACCTAAAACCGTTCCTTTCGGGAGGAGCAGAACTAGAAAATGGTTGACCGTAGGCAACATAGTCTGGCCAGTATAGATCATTACCAACACTGGATAATTGGGACAACTACGTAATCCATCTCAACCACTGCGCTCAACTGATCAGCGATGGCAAACTTGCCTATCATCAGCATATGGCGTAAACGTCCAGCGCTGACCATAAACCGCTGTACACGTATGTCAATGGCCGCCGTTGAGGCAGGGAATTCCTCCGCTCCGGATGACCGAGGATTCAACTGGAACAGCAATAGAAGCAGAAAACGTGTTGCGGACGTAATATGCTTCCACATTTCAGTGGGTGTCAGCATCAAACTATCTTTCAACTTTGGTTTTCCCGCCTACAGGACTAACCAACATCTCTTGGACTGCCAGAGCT